CACGACATCACAGTGCCGCAGTGGCACCCTCATGTTCACTTTTCCCTCTCATTTCTCTTCTGAATTGTCTTGTCTTCTTTATCAAACATGAATTGACCATAAATGCAAGAATTTATTTCCGTTTCATTAGTTGCGTTTCATTAACGTACAGGCTCATCTTTGTGCCAATACTTCACTGTCTTAATTGCTGTGGGTTTAAAGTAAGTAGTGGTGTTAATTTTCCAAATTTGTTCTTTGTCCAAATTGGCTGCTTCAGGTCATCTGTATTTCCAAATAAATTTGAACACCAACTTGTCAATTTCTACCCCAAAAAAAGCCTACTGGAATTTGATCAAAATTGCAATCACCTTACAGATCAGTCTTGAAGAAAATAGCCTTATTGACCGTACTGAGTTTTCCAATCCGTTGATCAATGAAACGCCTCCCAGTTTATTAAAATTTTCTTTATAAGTTTATTCTAACTTTATTTTTTGATACTATTGTGAATGACAATGTTTTCTCAATTTCAATTTATGATGGTTTATTATTGGCATATAGAAATACAATTGACTTTGTATACTTACGTATCTTGTGACTCTGAAAACTGAATATAGCAACAGATAGACTAGTTCATTGGTTCTAATAAGTGAGTGTGTGTGTGTGTGTGTGTGTGTGTGTGTGTGTGTGTATCCTTTGATATTTTCTACAAATAATCTGTGACTAAGGACAATTTTATTTATTTCCATTCAGGGTATCTTTCTTTCTTTATCTTTCTAATTTTCCTAGCTAAAATCTCCAGTACAGTGTTGAATAGAAGTGCTGAAAGCAAAAATCCTTCTTTTCTTCCTTTTAAAAAAAATTTTTTTTTTTTGCAGAGGAGGAGGTAATTAGGTTTATTTATTTATTTATTTATTTTTAGTGGAGGTACTGAGGATTGAACCCAGAACCTTGTGCATGCTAGGCATGTACTCTACCACTTGAGCTATACCCTCACCCCCTCTTCTCTTATTCTTGATTTTAGGGGGAAAGTGTCAGTCTTTTTCCACTAAGGATGATTCTAGCTGTGTGTTTTTCAAAGATGCTCTTTATCAGGTTGAAGAACTTCCCTGATATTACTGGTTTGAATGCTTTCATCATGAAAGAGCGCTGGATTTCGTCAAATGCTTTTTCTGCATCTATTTAGATTATCATGTGTTTTCCCCCCTTTATCGTATTAATGTGGTGTATTAATTGATTTTCAAATGCTAAGCCACCCTTGCATTCCTGGGATAACTATCACTCAGTCATGGTATGACATTTTATCTGTTGCTAGATTCAGTTTGCTACTATTTTGTAAAGGATATTGGTTGTTAGTCTATAGTTTTCTTGTGATGCCTTTGTCTGGTTATGGTATCAGAGTAATTCTGGTCTTATAGAATTAGTTGGGAAGTTTGCCCTCCTCTTCTATTTCCTGGAAGTTTGTGAAGGATTGATCTCTGTTGGCTTTTAAAAAAACCTTTTAAAATGTAAAAACCAAAAACTATTGAATTGTACACTTTAAAAGGGTGAATTTACAGTATGTGTAGGGATTACTATGCACCTATAATCCCTGAAAGGGCCTATCTATTTCTGATTTACCTTTATTCCTCTGGCAAAGTATTGAAGAGTTTACCAAGTTGTGCCTACCATGGCAAGCCTTCAACACCAATTTTTGTCTCCCTAGTCCCACAATGCTACCAAAATGGACTGCTCATTCTCTCTGGAAGCAGCAAACACCCTTTTGGTGACCTCAAACTTGAGACTCACTCCCTTGGACTTCTATCCTCCTCCAGATCTTACATTGGAAATTCTGAAAGAGCTTAATTCTTCAATAGCTTTAAGCAGATTTTTTAAAACAAAAATAATTAATTATTTATCCAGCTTTTCCAGATACTTTCAGGAGAAATGATGGTCTGAGTTACCTAGTTAAGTCATCAATTTTTTTCAATATTTTTTTATTGAGAATCATCAATGTTTTGATGTTATAAGACAACTAATTTTTATCACCAACCAAAATTTCTTATTTGAGGATATGTTTCAGAATGACATAATTAACTACATTTTAAAACAAGTCCTGTGTAATTATTTAAAAAATGTATATAAACCCTTTTGGGCTTAGATTGTACAATTTCAATTTTGATTTTAACATAATTAATTTCATTATTTATGCACCCTAGCTGTAACATAAGACTATATTCATTTGTACTGCACATTTTTACTCTTCAAAATACTTTCACTATTATTTATAATGTCTTAATAACTCCTTTGTGAAGTAGATGCTAACATTATAATCTTAATTTTAAAGATAGATAAACTAAAGTTAAACTCATTCATTTATTCATTTTAAAAAACAATGTAAGAAATTGCTCTTAAATTTAAGCACACATGACTTTTGTTGTCTCACCTGACTTTCCCCTGTGGCAGTCTGTACCAGACTCCGATTCAGATGTTGAAGCATATTTCAGTATTTGATGTCCACAGCTTGTAAAAGAAAATGGATAAATATGTACATATGATAAATGAAGTAAAATTTGTTTTACCTAAACACAGTCAGAAAATCTGGTTATTTTTTAACTGAAAGATCCCAATCTGCAAAATATCCTAATATTCCAATCTCTTTATAAACTGAATAGGCTTTATCCTCCATCTGTGTCTCTGAAGGAAATGACATGTTTTGGAAGTCACACTGAGATCTGAGGTAAACCCTTATTATCATCAAAGCAGAAGTGAGAATGAACACCATATGGACTGGGTACTATGAATAGGTACCAATTTAGTACATACTAAAATAATTCTCCTACATTTACTGATATTTTATGGTGGGTAGAATACCACTATGTTTCACTTCAGATGGAGATCATTTAGTTGGGAAATGAATAATAGCACTGAAATGAGAAAAATTTTGTTTAGAATAAAAACTATTAAAGAAGAGGATATAGTCTTAACTATCTAGTTATAGAACTAGAAAACTGCTAATACTTTACTAAAATAACCTATATTTTGAAACAGAAATCATAAACATTTGGGAAACTTACCTGTTACATAAATTGCTATCAGAATTTCTAAGCTGCTGGTAAAAATCTGGTGAATTGGGTGCATTGCTCAGGGATCTGTGTAAAATAACACTTGGCTTAGTAAGAAAATCAGCAGTGTCAGGAAATTCTATAGGTGATCGGTTAGTTAGAGAGGCAGCAGACACTGGTCCAGGACTGGGAGAATTCAAGCTGGGAAAAGCACCTAAAAAATTGAAAGAGAGGAAGGAGATAGATAAATAAGTATGTATGTGTATGTGTTTATTGTCTATGTTAGAGATTTATAAAAAGCATTTTCCTTCTTTAAAGGAAACTTTTTAGAGAAATTTTAAAGAAAGCAAAGTATTTACAATTAAATAGTAGAATAGATTTCTACAATGGAGCTATCTCAAGACATTTTAGGAATTCAAACATAATATAGACCATATTTATCATCATCAATGACTGGAATAAACACCCTGTGACAGGATGGCACGTAGTAGGTAAATTTTAAGTGTATAACTAAAATATACTTAGTGTGTGGCACAAGTTTTCCTAATTAATATTGGTCTTTATCTTTCACATTTTGTGTCCCTACCAGTTTGACTATCCATGTAAACAAAGCAGCTTTACCGAATTTTACTGAATATTTTTCAATACAATAAAATTCATTTTTATCGAAGAACCAAAGTTCTTAATATTAAGCAATGAGTAAGTTAAGCATATGATAAAATTATAGTAACACGTAGCATATCCCTTTAAAAAATCCAAGTCTTTCCAGCTCCTTCATTTATTCCACAAACATTTGAGAGCCTGTTATATGCTGGAAAATGTGCTAGGTTTCACAGTGGAGGAAAAGATGCCATCCCGAGAACTCAATGGACCTAAAGTCTAGTGGAAAACAGAAACAAGTGCTAAGTGCTAAAATAAGGGGAAAAAAGAGTGCTTCAGAAATACATCCCTAACCCTATTGATTTACTCAAGAAACCTTTGCTGGGTGCCTTGAACTAAGGGTATATCTGGAGAAGGGTAGACAGATTTAAAACTTTATTTCAAAATAAAGATCCAAGTAAGTGTGAATTAGAGAGAAAAGCTAGTAACAGTGATTAATATTTGATATTTTGAGACATCGTTACAGATGTATGTAATGGTTGATTTTATGTGTCAACTTGACTAGGCTACTGTGCCCAGTGGTTTGGTCAAATACCAGTCTAGATGTTGCTGTGAAGGTATTTTTCAGATGTGATTAACGCTGAAATTAGTAGACTTACTGATGAGTAAGGCAGATTACCCTTCATAATGTGGGCTGGCTTCACCCAATTAGTTAAAGGCCTTAGGAGAAAAGACTGAGGTCCTCCAAAGAGGAAGGAATTTTACCTCCAGACTGACTTTGGACTCAATACTGCAACATCAACTCCTGCTAGAATGTCCAGCCTGGCAACCTACCCTGAAAATGTTGGACCAGCCAGTCTTGCCACTCTGGTGAGCCAATCCCAATCAATCAATCAATCCCCCTTCCCCATATATATGTATGTAAGTATATATGTTGTAGTTACATACACACACAAATATCCTATTAGTTCTGTTTTTTTTCTGGAGAACCCTGATGAATACAATTTGTTATTTTATTTAATCTTCACAATTACCCTGTGAGTTAAGTAGCATTTTCATTTTACATGTGAAGAAAAAAACTACTCCCCACCCCCCAAAAAATTCAGGAAACTTCACATAGTTAACCCAGTTAGCATTGGAGACCATACTCTTTGTAGGGCTGCCACTGCTGTTCTATCCAACTGATTTGTTTAGAGGATCCTATAATTTCATATAATGTTAAAGTTGAATGAGCTTTTATAAATAATCTGGTCAAACACCCTAATGTTTCAGATTAATATTTCAGAGGAAACTGAGAACTAGAGAGGGGAAGTATCTTCCTTTTCAAAATCATACTGGTTGGTTACTAACTGGAGATTAAATTCCAATTTTTAGCACTGTTTTCTCTGATTATACTAGCAAGTGTCCAGAACCCTGACAAAAAGGCTGAGAAGAATAAAGGATAAACTAGTTTTAGGGTAGAAATTTAATATAATATAGAAAAGCTTTGAGGAAAGGACAAAAATGGTAAAGAAAATCCTAGCAACCATTAAATACTTTCTACAATACAGGCTCATCAGTTTTATTCTAAACTTTAAAAATTGTGAAATATAATGCACATACAGAAGAGTTATAAGAGGAATGCTCATGACTCAAGCTAAAACATAGAACTTGGCCAGAGATCAGAAACCCCTGTCCAATTTCTAGTTCCCCTCCCTCTCATTAAAGGAATTACTGATTTTGACTTTTTTGATACTGTTTTTCTTGCCTCTCTTTATATTTCTACATGCGTATCTCAACAATTTAGATTAGTTTTATCCTTTTTTTGAACTTTGTAAAGTGAATCAGACAGTATAACTGCTTTTATGCTTACTTTACTCAACATTTAAAAAAGATATTTCATATGTTCATTCATTTTGAACGGACATATCAAATTGTATGTGTGAATATAGCACAATTTTATTTCTCAAGTACTGAACTGCTAAATTGTCTTCCAAAGTAGCTGTGGCATTTTACTTTCCCATCAGTGATGTATGAGTGTACCTACTTCTGAACATTTTTGCCAACACTTGTTATACTGTCTTTAGAATTATAGACAACATGGTGGGTGTGAAGTCATAGTTCATTATGGTTTGCTTTGCATTTCCCTAATGATTAATTATGCTGAGTATCTTTTCATGTGGTTAAGGGCCATTTGTATATCTTCTTTGGAGAAACACCTATTCAAATCATTTGCCCATTTTTTAGTGAGGTCATTTGTGTTTTTATTATTGAGTTGTAAGATATCTTTGTCTATTCTGTTGTCAAATTATAATTTGCAAATATTTTCCCCTATTCTGTGGATTGTTTTCTCACTTTCTTTAGGTATCAGTTGAAGTACAAATTTTTTTTTATTTTAATGAATTCAATTATTTTCATTCATGGACTGTACTTTTGGTGTCATATCTAAGAATGCTTTACTCAGTATCCAAAGTCACAAAGATTTCCTCCTGTTTTCTTCAACAAGTTTTATGGTTTCACTCGTTTGAGTCTAAGAGCATTTTGAGTTAATTTTTGAGTATGATGACAGGTATGGTTCCAAATTCATTCTTTTTCATGTGTATATCCAGTTGTCCCAGCATCATTTGTTAAAAACACTATTCCTTCCCTACTGAATTACCTTGGCGCCCTGGCTGAAAATCAGTTAACCATGGTTTATTTCTGGTCTCTCAATCCTATTCCAGTGAGTTGAAATATCCTTCTGCCAGACCCAACTGTCTTGATTAACTTGGTAGCAAGTTTTAAGATTTAGAAATCTGAGTCCTCTAATTTTTTAAATTAAAAATTGTTTTAGCTACTCTGGGTCCCTTGAATTTCTATGTAAACTTTAGGATTAGCTTGTCAGATTTCTGCAAAGAAGTCAGCCCAGACTTTGATAAGCTAAGGATTATAGTTAATCTAGAACAATTTGAGGAGTATTGCCATCTTAAGTATCCTGATCCACAAACACGGGATACTTTTCCATTTATTTGAGTCTTCTTTAATTTCAACAGTATTTTTCAGTTTTCAGTGTACAAGTCTTAAACTATTTTGTTAAATTTATTCCAAAATATTTCATTCTTTTTGATGCTAACTGTAAATGGAATTATTTTCTTAATTTCAGTTTTGCCTTGTTCATTGTTAATATATAGAAATATAATTGATTTCTGCATATAGATCTTGTATCCTGCCATAATGATGAACTTGCTTATTGGTTGTAATAGAGTTTTAATGAATTTCTTAGGATATTACAAGTACATGATTATGTTGTCTGCTAATAATTTTACATCTTCCTTTTATTCCTTTTTACCTTAACTTCCCTCACTAGAACCTCCAACCCAATATTGAGTAAAAGTGACAATTATTTTATAATTATTAAAATCATTTTATAATTTTATAGTTTCTAGTTCTTTCTTTATATTCTTTCTTTGGTGAGACACTGTCATACTCTCCTTAAATACGTTATATATGGTTTCGTTAAGTTCTTTAAACATAGTAATGGTAGCAAATTTAAAGTCACTGCCAAATCCAAAACCCAAGCCCCTTCAGGGAAATTTTCTGATGACTGTTTTTCAGTGTCTACATGGCAAAAAAATTTCTTGTTTCTTTGCATGCTTCACAATTTTTTTGTTGAAAACTTGACATTTTAGGTAATATATTGTAATAATTCTAGTATCAGATCTCTCTCTCCCCCAAGGCTTCTGTTGCTGGTTTTGTGTTTGTTCATTTTCTTATTTCTGATTACTCATTGAGTGATTTATGTAGATTTTGTTTTCTCTAAGGTGTATAGCCACTGAGTTCTCTGCTGCCTTTTTTTTTTACCCCCTCTATGATTTAAGCTTGACTTCTTAGAAGTCACCCTTGGGTCAGTATAATTTAGATGAGACAGAAGATTTCTTTAAATGTCTTGCCTATATGTCATCTGTAGATGAGAATCTGTTTGAAAAGATACAACTTCAATCTTTCAGGCAGTTTATAAGTCAGCCTTAGCTTTTACTTCCTGCTTATGCAGGACCTCAAGATCAGTTACAGGTCCAGTGACCAGGACCTTCTCCTTTCCCAAGACCTTTCCTGGGCATGTGCACAGCCTTACACATGTGCTCAGCCTAGTAGATATTCAGGAACGTGTCAGAGCTTTCCAATTTCCCATGATCACCTAGTATTCAGGATTTCCTTTTAAATTCCCAGTCAGCTCTTGTTTGCCCCAACTGAAATCACAGCCTTACACATTCACAGTGTTGCTTGGCATAGGGTGTGGGGGATTTTTTGTTTCTTTTGGAGGGGAGCTGAGTTCTGAATCAAATCAAATATCCACAGCACCTTGGGATTAGAGGTTTTCCAGGAGCTGTAGGTTTGGACAAAACATTTACTGTACTCTCAGGATGTTGCTTTTAATGCAGTTTCAAAAGAAGTCAGGCTCTCTGATGGCTGCAAAGGTACTGGCTCTTAGCTATAGCACCACTAAACCAAGGAGAGGGAGGGAATGGGAACTGCCCCCAACAAAAATGTCACAGAACCCACTGTCTTACCAAGGTTCATAGTATCCCTTGTATAGATAACTTCTAGTATGTTCTCTGGCTTTTGCTAACTTCCAGAATTCTGAACTGGTTTAGTTTTTTCCCCTATTTTTTGTTGTTTTAGCAGAAGAGCAAGTTTACTGAGATCTTCTCTCTGCCACTCCAGAAGTTAATATCTATATATGATTTTTGAAGCTTATTGAGACTTATTTTATAGCACAGCAAATGGTCTATTTTGGATTAATCTTATGTGCATCCTTGTAAAAAACACTGTCTTATAATGTTGTGAGTGCAGTGTTTTATAGTCAAGTAGGACAAGTCAGTTAAATCATGTTGTTCTCATCTTCCATACAGCTATACTAATACTTTGGTTTGCTTAATTCTACTAGGTAATGAGAGTGGTGAGTTAAACTCTCCAAATACAAATATGGATTTGTCCTTCTCTCCCTTTAGTTCTGTCAATTTTTGGTACCTATCTGTGTCCTTATATTTAGAGTGTGCCTTTTGTAAAGAGCATATACTTGAGTCTTGTGTTGTTAATTGTCTGACAATCTGTATCTTTTAATTGGCATGTATTTTCAGTTTTTCAATCTTTTGTTGAAAACTGGACATTTTCGGTAATATACTGTGACAGCTCTGGTCAGCTCCCTGGTGCCCCACCCCTACCAACCACCCCGCTAAGGTATATATTTAATATAGTTTGCTTAATCCACCATCTTGCTATCTCTTTTCAGTTGTTCCTTACGTTTGTTTCTTATTTTCTCTTTTCTTGGATTATTTGGGAGTATTTTTGTAATCATGCCATTTTACCTTTTATGTTAGTTTTTTACTTGTTACCCTGAATTTTACAGTGTGCATCTTTGAAGTATTAGTTTCTTTTAAGTTAGAAATTTTTAGTACTTTTCAATCATTGCTAGTACATTGGAAGTTTAAATCCATTTACCACTTTCCTATCCTTTGTGTCATTACTATATATTTGACCGTCATACATTATGCAAAAGTCGTTGTTTTTAATCATCAGTATTCTCTCATTTGCAGCCACATATTAGGCCCACCAGTGCTTTTCAGTCATTCCTGCAGATCCATGCTTCAGTCTGGATCGTGTCCCTCCTACCTAAGGATCTTCCTTTGCTGAATCTTAGTAATGAGAGTCTATTAGCAATGATTTCTACCAGCTTTTATTTATATGAAAAAAAAAATGCTATTTCACCTTAATTTTTAAATAATATTTTCACTGAATAAGGAATTCCATGTTGGCAATTTTTGTTTTTGCAATACCTTAAATATACCATTCCATTGTTTTTGGTGATTACAGTTAATAATACTGTATTGCATATTTGAAAGTTGCTAAGAGAATAGATCTTAAAAGCTCTCACCACACACACAAAAATGTGTAACTATATGCTGACAGATGTTAACTAGACTTATTATAGTAATCATGTCACAATGTATACAAGTATCAAGTCATTTTGTTGTACACCTAAAATACAACGTTTTGTCTATTATCTCCCCCTGCCCTGTGACCAGACTGATAAAAATTCTGTAAGAATGACTTACTAGGATATAGGATATCCTCAGGATTTTTTTCTGCTCTCACATTAAGACTTTTTTTTCCCTCTACAATTACCATGCTACAAAAGAACGCCCTTGCCCGAGGGTCTCCCTTGCTCTGGGTCTGCAGTTATTCAGGTTAAATAGTTCTGTATTTTATCCCTGAATCCCTAGTGCCTCACAAAATATCTAACACACAGTAGATGTTCAAATATTAACAAGTGAGTGAGCAAGAATGGTCAACTAATAGCCAACCCAAACTGCTTAGTTACGTTAAATTACAACACATGAAATGGATCCAAAATTAGATATAAAAAGTTTGCACTACCATATACTTTGAGACCTCCTATATTTAAATCATAAAGAACGATTCTTACCAGCTCTTCTTAGACCTATATGGTGAGTTAACGATACAGAAGATGACCTTTGCTTCGGGATTGTCAGCAGATTTGAACTAAAAGGCCCATTTAGATAGCATCCTTGACTAAAAGGGAAAGATAACAGGTTAAGAATTTTAGAAACAGAAGAAATCCCTTTTTTCTTTATGGTCTTCCATTCAATTAGCAAATAATCTGCTTACACATTGAATTTAGACATCTACCTTGTGCCTAAGGAGTAAAGCAGGAGTCAGAAAGCTTTTCTGTAAAGAACCAAGTAGTAAATACTTTGGGCTTTGCAGGTCGTAAGGTCTCTGTTGCAATTACTCAGCTCTGCCATTGCAAAACAAAAACTGACATAAACAATAATAAGCAAAAGAATATGACTATGTTTCATTATAATTTTATTGACAAAAACAGGTTACGGGCCACACTAGGTCCACAGGCTGTAATGTGCTGATCCCTGACATGAAGCAGGTTTTCAGTGTCACCTGGAGGGCTTCTTACACCACAGATTGCTAGTCCCACCCCCAGGATTTCTGGTTCAGAAGGTCTGGGGTAGGGGTGGATAGAGAATCCGTGTTTCCAACAAGTACTTAGGTGGTCCAGGGACCTCACTGAGAATTGCTGGCCTTAAACATACAGTTTTTCACTGTCCTCACATCACCTCCTCACATATATTGATTACCCATTAAAACAGTCATATCCTCTAACTGAAATACTTATTATTGGCTTCAGGGTTCTTATGAAGGGATTCAATATAGGCAAGCAATCACAGTACACCAACTGATACCTAAAATGCATTTTAAGATTATATATTTTAAAACTTCTGGCCCAGCACCATACATATAGCACTTCCTCTCTTAGACATTCACTATCCTGTTTTCTTCTGTTGGTGGACTCCTGATGTGGTCACTTTGCCACAGGATCGAGGACAAATCTAGATTCTCTATTTTTCATTCAATATTTTACTAGTGTAGGCTAGGTTCTCAGTAATCTTTCCCCCAATCCCATCTTCTCTGCACTTCCACACCCCATTACTCAAGGAAGATCTATTTTTCTGTGGCCTAGGAGGGTTTTGTTCATGTCTCTTATTATAATATTTACACATAATATATTATAATTTCACTGCTTATGGACTGCTTTCCCTCATGAACTTGTGAATTCCCTCAGGGGCTGTAAGACACTCTTATACATTCACAGTGGATATTGCACAGTGCCTGGTAAAGGTGTTCAACAGATGTATTTCTGGTTCCTATTCTCACTTTTCTAGAGAACGGATCTTTTCTGCTCCCCCCGTTTTGAGTGAATGGACTCTTTCGCTAACTCCTGCTTCGAGGCTCTTCTTGGGCCTTTTCTAGAAATGTAGTTTGTTTTATGACCCCATGAGAGAAAAAAATTCTGTATTGCAAAGAGAAGGCATGTAAAACCAGTTGGCAACCACTTAATATCAATAGAGAAGTTCTAAGGAACAAAAATTATAACAATAATAGCACTATTTTGAGTACTATGTGTCATCCATTGTTTTAGGTACTTTACATACTTCATCTCTTTCAGTCATCTGAACGACTCTATTGTTAGATAAGAAAACTGAGGCCTCATGAGGCTAAGTAATGTTCCCAAACTCACACCACCAGCATTCACTGTGGCAGAGCTAGAATTCAACTTTGAATTTCTCTGACTCTAAATTTATCTAACTCTAAAGTATATGCTTTTTCCCCAAGACAAGTCTGACGCTATCTTTGGGTGTTTCTCCATCTGTAAAATTACAGATTTAAAGAATAAAGGACTTCTAAGATAACATCTAGTCTTTAGATTCTACAATATTTTTTGCTCAAGCTAGTAGTAATAATAATTTGTTGGCTATGTTACAAAAAGAGGCAATATGTAAATAATACCACTCAGTAAACTCATCTCCCTACCAACGTTCAGTCATTCTTTGTATTCGAGTGCTCACTGCCTACACACGGAGCAGGAGAGACGGGGAAGGAAGAGCAGCAATGCCCCCCCAGGGCAGCAACCAGAGAGAAGAATCACTGGACTCGACCAAACTCTTACTTCTGATGAATATTCAAAACAAAAACAGGGTTTTCTCCTTCAGAGAAGAGACCCAAAGCACTGCTCCAGTCTTCTATTTTAATCCAGGGTCTGTTAAACAGTTGTTTAGAATTGAAAGGTACAGGTCAAATTATAGGTTTTCAGCTCAGTTCCAGAATCATCTCATTAATTCCTAGCCTAGAACCAGATAAATACACAAACCAAAGAGATTACATAAAACAATACTGAAAAAAACAGAGCAACGTAGGCTAGGAATCCCAGTGATTATTAGTAATTGGTAGGAAGGTGACTGAAGTCAGACTTGGCAATCAGTCTTCAAACCCACATGCACAAACTTTACAAGAGATGTCAAATGTTATGGTCAGAGTTAAGCCATATGTTAAGAGCTGATTTCTAGACAATCAATGCAAATTACCTTGACAAGATTTGTATCACCTCAATTTTTTTTTTTAAGTAGCTGTATAAACTTGACAGCTGTATGGTGTCCAGATTTACAGAGCTGTTCTCTTAACAAACTGAGTGGGATATTGCCATGAGCCCTCTTGAATCTCTGCAGTTCAAGTAAGGTCCAGTCATTGGTATAAATCTCTAATAAATTATAAGATACAGAATTGAAAAGTTGGTTCCCAAGTACATTATTTAGGGGAAATACTATTGCCAGGCAACAAGTTATTAGATTTAATTACAGAGCACTTATGATGATGAACGATCAATCAAGAGAACAGGTTAAAGGCAAGCCTCTTCAGTGTGCGAGTAGCTATAGTTGATAGCCCTCTGAGTTTGGGGATACAATTTGCCTGTATTGCCCCAGGGAAAGTCTGTTCAAAGGGAATGAGCTGTGAGTTCTGCATATGTGGTATTTGTTCACAGAGAGGGTCTGGGTCCTAGCAGCCAGCTCATGGACAGTAGGTTAGCCATTCTTTTAGCCCTAGATACTAACACTGTAACTGGGTAATTCAATTGTCAGTCCAACCCGGAAAAGCATTATTCAACCCTTCCTGGAATTTCCTGCCCCTCAAAACTTCATCCTAAAACTTGAGCAGAAGGCAGCATCAACTGTCATAAGCCAATATGGACACCACACCCCTGCAGAGGACACTTGTTAAGCAGCTATTTATCTTCAAAGACCCGTTTAAATGTAACCCCAAATTCCTCACAGTAATCGGGCAGGCCTCAGAAAGGCAGTAAAGACTAACAACATAGAAAACAAAAACTGCCATAAAAGAAGCAAAGAAAAGGTGTTAAGGAGATTCAGAGGTGAAACAGATTACTTTTCCTTGGAAACCAAAGGAGGGGGATGTCAGGGTGTTACTCTTTAAGCAGCGACATCTGAGCTTATTTTTTAAAGATATATAGAAGTAAGTGTGAAAAGCTCTATTCCAGGTAGGGGGAACAACTAAAAAGGGGCACAGGTGTGCAGAGAGAATATCAAACAGTTAATCTTGACTGGAGTTTCAGATAAATAAAGGTGATACTAGAGAGGTATTTTGACGTTGTAAAGTTATGGGCCTCTTAATTAAAATCTCGAGGCCTCTAAGAGATGAGCAGTGATAAACTCTTAAGAGTAGGTAATAAGTAGCTGTTCAAGCAGGAGTAACTCTTCTTCCTTGTGGTTTTCCTCCTTTGGAATCCTCTTAATCTCAGCTATCGTAAGGTTTATAATACCTCACTTTTTTCTCCAGGCAAAGCATAAAGAAAAGCAAAATTAAATCTTATATTATGCTTTATACACGTGAGGTAGGCTGAAAAATATTGAGCTTAATTTTCAAATGGAGTGAAACTAGAAACAAAATCATGGGAGAACTTCAAGAAAGAGTCTAATGCAAGTTATATGCCTGTGGTTTTCACCTAGAGAGCTTTCCAAATCATTTTTCTATTCTTATTCTTTATAAAACTGCTCATGTCTGTTTGTTTGTTTAATTTTTCCAAGTAAGGGTGTAGCTTTGTCATGAGGGAGTAACAGAGCTTTGAATCCCAGGCTAGGAATTTGGGCACTATTCCACAGGCATTGATAAATGACCAAAAACTTAATGACAGAAAAACTATATAATAAAAATTTTGTTTAAGGAAGATTTCTGGTGGAAGATGGATCAGGTAGTGAAGGATATTAGAAATAAGAAGGATAATTAAACAGCCCAGGTAAGGAATAATGAAAGCATGAAATCGTATAGGCAAACTGATAAAGGGGGAAAAAGAAGAGGGAGGAAAAGAGGTTCAGAGACAGACTTGACAACTGATATCTGCAGAGTAAGGTAACAGGATGCAAAGATAACACCAAGTTTTCTAGGTAAATCAATTTTGTAAGCAACCACAAAACTAGAAGATAGAAGCATAAGGACAGAACAATAGTAGTAATGGATAGAAAAGCAGCTGGAGGCATGAGAAATTTGGTTTCAGACATAGTTTCAGGGAGCAAGAGATTCAATACTGAAATCACACAATATTGAAACCACAGTCAGGGCCATTTAAAATTACAGTCAGAGAAGCTATCATCAGAATCCAAAGCTGCATTCATATCAAATCTAGGACATGTGATCTCCCTTCTGGAATACTCAAATAAATTCACAATGAATGCCTCATGATTCCAGAGTTATAAGCCTATTCGTTTTGTAATACTAAAGCCTAAAGAATCCTGAACAAAATGTCACCATACGTTAAAGGCCTATAGTTATGCTGTCTAATATGGTTGCCGTTTGTCTATATGATAGTCACATATAGCTCTTTATATTTTAATTAAGTAAAATTAAATCAGATTTAAATAAAGTTCCTTAGTCTTACTAGACACATTTCAAGTGATCAATAGCCACTTGTAGCTAGGGACAACCAAATTGGATGTACAGATACAAAATGTTCCCTCCATAGAAATTCTACTGGACAGCACTGATCTAGAGACTTGGATTTCAAAAGAAAGAGTGGTTTCGAGTGCTTCACACATTCCCATTTACCCTATGTTCAAAGTACACTTAGAAATATATTAGCGAGAGGCTTCAGCTTCTGCACACTAGAAAAATTTCTTCTAGCCTTCTCTCTTTAAAGTAGATGTTTCATATTACTACCAATTACTTTATTCTCTAAGTTTCTAAATCTTTCATGAGGCATATAGTTTTGTTTTAATCAGGGTTAAGTAAATACGTTGAATCTGCCTATATTTACTTTTAACTCTGAGATTTGTTCACATAAAGATTAGTTTTCCTTGGACCATGCTTCTATTGTAATATCAGTCGTGTAAGGCAGCAGGATAAAAATAACCTTAACTCAATGTATTAAATGTTTCTTTAATTTTAAATATGTTGCAGTTACATCAGTGTGACGGAAAGTTGAAAAAGTAAAATCATTTTCATCATTCTTCTTAAGCTCAAAAATATTCTCAAGATGATGTATCCCATGGTTAAGAAATATGACTGAAAATGTCATATTTTCAGTTCCTCACGTCATTTACTTTGTCATATCCTGCTTCCATTAAGAAAAAATCGCCAACAACAACAAAAACAGAAATGTTATCGTGTTTAGGCTCTGGGCAAGCTTTGGAATAAAGCTCACTTTCCTGTAATATTCTCTTCATACTTGCATCTATTCCTGTTTTACGTATCATTTCACTCAGTTTTTCCCTTACAAATACTTGCATGTATTATAGAAGATTCAAATTACTTACAGAAGAATCTGGAAAATTCCAATTATCTGATCATATTTCATATATTAGAAGTTAGCACAAATTTTAACAGATAAGAAGCTATGATCCAACCCTGCCACCTACTGTTCCAAATGTGTAACTACACAGCTCAAACCAAAAGTACAGCACATGCTCAGTGGGAACAGGGGTGGTTTAACAGATTTATACTAACTCCAATTTTATTAACATGGTTAGGTAATTGACTAAATAGAAGCTTATAGCTCACACAAGAGATCAGCATCTTTCTTGGCATTTGAAAGGCAAAGTATCATATCCTTTGTTATCAGTAAATGGGGTATATTGACATTCAGAAGATTTCAGCTCCTGCATTTTCCCAGCTTCACTTGGTTGTAGTTACTGATACCTTCCCTTTATGGGATTACCACAGTTTAGTTCCAAGTGAATCCTCAACAGAAAATAGGCTCTATTAGTAGTCTTGGTTCTCCAGCAGGAACAGGGCTTGAAAGAGCGTTGCTACCTTATGTCCGACGTCTGCAGTGATTTCTGGGGGGAGCCCTGGGAACGTGTCTCCTTCCACAAGTCAGAACCAACCTCTGAATACTATGCTGTGGACTGGCGACTGCTCCTAATACAGCCAACTCTACCAATTTAAAAGGATCCCTAGTGCCTGTCCTAAATTGATACTCATTTCCTTAAACTGCCTCCCCAATTCATGTTCTTAAGGCTGCAGCATGCTCTGAACCCAGCTTACCTATTTGGGGGGAAAACATAGATTATCTTTAAGAATCAGTTTTTCTATCGGGCCTCACTACTAGCCATGCCATCCTACACCTAAAACTCTTCAACTGTTCCTTTATGCTCTTAGAGCTGCTTCAAACTTCATTCACAGAAACAAACTGGAGGTATTAGATTTAGATTTCTTTAAAAGGCTCTGGTGATTTTACCTTGAAATGCCAATTTCTTGGTGGGGCCTTTTTCCATTGTTGCGTTCCCACTTCGGAGAAGTCTGTTCCATAGGTGGCAGACCTGAAGTTCCTGAGCTCCTCCTCAGCTGTGGAGTTGGTAAACTATTCCTACTGTTGAGTCCCTGTTGAATAATTTAACAACAGTTAAAATGGGCACCCTTTAATGTGCTGTATAAGTGATACTAGAGATGGCACATGAAAATATAAATACGAGACGCAGTAGACCCTTGAGCAACTCGGGGGTTGGGGTGCCAATGCTCCGTGCAGTGGAATATCGGGCTTTGCCTTACAGTTGGCTCTCCCTATGCACACTTCCACCATATCAGGGATTCTGCATCAGTGGATTCAACCAACCGCAGATGGTATAGTACTGTACTATTTTACTCCTGAAAAAAAATCTGCGTGTTAGCGCGGACTTGCTCAGTTCAAACCCATGTTGTTCAAGGGTTAACTGTACTTTTTTAGCATGTACAGGAGACACAAAACATTTTATTCTGAAAATCTGTCAATTTTACTCCAAATATCACATCTATACTGTTGTTCTAATTTATCTTCCCTCTACTAAGAAATCATTTCTAACTCCCTACCATTTAACTAAAGCTTCTTTCTCTTGGACACTTTACTCCTAGTTTTATGCAAAATAAGCTGACAACTTTAAAAGTAGATATGAAAGAATTACCCTAAAAAATGACTTCAGAGGGCAAGCTTAGGATCAGGGATGATCAGCCCTAAACAGTTAAACTGCAGAATTTTGAGCTACCCTTTGAATTAATGATTAAATTAAATTCAGAACACCTTTCACATTAAGAGTATTTTCCCCTAATTTTTGAAAATATTCTCAATTAACACAAACATTAACCAGAAAATTCCATTTTTGACCACAATGAATAGGTGTTTTAATGAGATTTATATAAAATTTTGTTTTCCGCTTCTTAAGAATTTTCCCTATCAGCAGACATGAAACCATCTCAGAGAGATATTTAAGTTTTCTCAGGGATGTTGATTTTGTAAAGGTTCGATATTAGTAAGACACACAGTGGAAAAGTCATTTCTGTAACAACCTTTTGGATTATAATTTAGGTCCATATAATCTTTCTTAGTTCTTAACACATATACAAGACATTTACTTTAAATTATCTGTTCCAACTCCCATTTCCTTACTAATCTTTTTTGTTTTAATAAATGCTATTGCTCTTTTCTGAAGTGACGTTAGGCTTTGTATATTCTTTTCCAAAAACAGAGATAAATCAGATATGAAATTCACATAAGAAGTTTAAAGAACACAAAGAAATAAGGGTTACTTCCTGGCTCTTGTATAACTTATTTCTATCAGTAAATTCCAGTACTCAAAGTAAGTCTGATTAACTACAATGTTTAGGAAATGAGGCAGTTGGGCATCCTGCTTAATTAATATTCTTCTTCAAATGTTTCTCAAATGTACCAGTACACTTTTCTACATAGTCAACATAGTAACAAACATAATACTGATATCAATGTGATTTTTATAATTAAGATTTTTAAGAATTACTGTTTTTTAAAATCACTATTCTAAACATCAAATGTCAATGGAAAGTACAAAGAAGGAGCAACATAATAAATGAAAACTAACTCAAGAATGTATTAGTTATTTCATTGATGAATTTATTGCTATTCCTCTTTGATGCTTGTGATTAACCTCTTTTTCATATGGAGAGTGCTAAAAAAAGTGCAATATAACAGCACCACTGTTAATTGGGTTTTGAGTAATGCAGGTGCCACTGTATACACTTTAAAAATAAAAGCATCACGTAACTACCAATGGTCCAGATTTGTGATCAGTAGTGATCAAAATTTTGCACTAATCAAAGTTGCTTAATTTTTCAACATTTCTATACAATAATGCCAAAAAGAACTAACTAAATGAAATTAACTGATGATCAAAATCCTTCCAAAAACTTTTTATTTAACTTTTTTAAGCTCTACATACACTATTACAATGAACAAAATCAACTGATTTGAATTTCATCTCCTCTTAATCAGTTTCTTTAACCAGTAGAATAAAGTAGTTAAACTAGAATCATGTCTGAAATATTTGTTTTTAAAGTTTTATGAGTTTAGCTATTGGTAACGATATTGATAGTCACATAAAATAATTAAAAGCACTCTGAATAGGCATAACGTATACCTATTTAGAACAGTATTTATTATTTTCTAAAGGAAATCCTATTTTGAATTATTGATATCTAAAGAGAAACTAATTCCATATTTACAGATGGAGAAATTAATGGGCATTGGGCTATAGCAATCTCCAGTGGGTAAGGAGGGGTGAGAGTGACAGTTGCAAAGAAAATGTGACCATCAGTTTACAAGAATGCTATGTGATTTCACAGAATAAATATTATAATGATCATTTTTTTGTTTCAAAAAGAAAAATCCTTGTTTCTACAGAATAAAATAGATTAATGACACAATTTGATTACTAGTTGGTTGTACAGCCTGGAAGTAAATTTGCTTGTTCTCTACTTCTTACAAACAATAACAACAACAATAAAAATAGTTATTACTGATGAAGGTATAACTGCTAATTGCAGCAATATTAATTAGAATAAAAACTAAATACGTGCTTAGAATTATCTGAGGTTACAACTACCTCTAAAGCCCCAAGGAGCTCAAGGTGTTGTAAGAGAAGCTGGCCCTTTAAAAAGAAATTCTGTTTCAGCCCTCTCTCGCTCCCTCCTCTTCAGAGACTGCCGGCACTCTGTCTAAGGAGTGTGTGCCTACTTTTACTTTAACCTGAGCACCCACCTCCCACACCTCTTTCCTTTCCTTTCCCTTGCTTTACATTCTATGCAGTATGTATCTCTCTAAATAAATCTACCTTTACTCAAAAAAAAAAAAGAATTTCTGTTTCTCTAAGATTTAAAGGGGTAGTTTTAATTTGAAAACATTAAATGTGATGAATAGAGGGCTGATTACTGTATTTTGACCTTGTGAAGTTTTCTATCTCCTTTCTCGGCTGGGTCCTCTGTTTCGGAGCAGGGATAAAATCCAGGAAATGGTGTGAGAGGATTCATCTTAGGCCTACAGGAGCCCGAGAAAGCACCCATCAAGCTACTGATGCTCCTTAGGGAAGAAATGACTTGTGGGGGGAGAGTTGGGTCAACCAGAAGATCTGACACCATATTGCGAGCCTCATTTAGCACTGAAAGATCAACCCCACTTCCACCTCCAGAGTTCTAGAAAAGAAAAAAAAAGTAAAATTACCTATTTGTTACAGGGAAAACTTAACATTTAAGAAAAACAACTCTACTTTAAATCAAAGTCCATCTAACAATAACTAAGTGATTGAATCCTATTAAATATTTTCATCTATTTGGACACGGCAAAAATGACACAGCAAATAGTATGATTCTAACCTAAAATCTTTTGATGCTTAAGTATGTAGCAGATATTGTCAACTTTAATTTTTTTCTGTATTTTTCATTAGCATGTCTCATATTTAATGGTATTCATTACTGACTTACTTTATAACTAGTATGGAGCCAAATCTGTATTTATTTCAGAATCTATAATTTGGGCATTTTCATTAATTGATGATTTTCTTCCCTTTATTGTAAAAATTTATTTTAAATGTACACAGCATTTTTCATTTACTCCTCACTTAAGAGGCAGTCTAGCATAGTGACAAGGCTTTGTTGCAAAGACATCCAAGCCTGAAATCTAGACTTTACCCCTAACTGTGTTACTTGGAGCAAGTTATTTAACATCTGAACTTTTCAGTTTCTTCACTGTAAAGTGGGGATAACATCTACCTCATTAAGGGCTGATGTGAGAATTAAATCTGATAATACATGGAAAGCACAAAGCGTCGTATAGTGCATATATTTAAAGTGCAATAAATAATACTATTATCAATATTTTGGAAAATGATGAGATAAAGATAGAGAAAAAAGGTTTCAGAGTTCAAAGGAATAGTGGTAACTTTGAACTGAATGGTTAGCATGCAACGAATAGCACGAGGATGGGCCCCAAAAAATGGATGGGAAATACATTTTTCTAATTTAGAAAAAAATTTCCATTGATGTATACAAACAATATGCTTTTTGCTTCTTAAAAATACATATATATGACGTTCAATTCAATTACCCACAGAAATAAATGCACTGATCATCAGAACAGTGAATTAAATGTTAATATATTAGATCAACTCTTATGCCTAGAACAACTGGTCTAAAAAAGGCCAAAATAAAATACAAATAGCATCCATTTTGAGGCATCAGAGCACAATCAAGCAGCCACGGCTTGAAAGAACAAGAACCCAGGGTTAAGAGAAAAGATTGACATGAACCCAATATTCTGTGTTATTTTTTCCCGTCAAGGAATTTGCTACCAATTCATAACTGGCACAGGGCAGAAAGGATGAGAAGCAGAGCAGCTAAGAGACTAGGAAACAGCATAGAGCTTCCTATAGCCTCAAGCGGCCAGAGGCCAAAACTGTAATTTAGGGTTGTAAAGACAAGGAGAGCTTTAAAGGCCAGGCAAGATCCCAGAGAGAAGAGGAAATCAAAGATGCAAGCCTGAATTCAGAACTGCTTTCCCCAAGAAGATATTTGCCAATTTGTAAACAGTGGCCAAGTGATGGAGAAACCAAACAGAAATCCTCAAAAAGATTTCTATTTTGAAAGTAAAATACAGCTTTCAGCAGTCACAAAGCCGGAGGGAACAAAAGGAGTTCAGAGAAAAATATCACTAACCAAATTGTTTTAAGAAGAGACAGAAAACTGAGTAGTTCTAAAATTATTAATGAAACGTAATAATTTAAAACTTGTCCATTAAAAAGAGCTTCAAACTGAGATGTCTTCACCAGAGCATTCTTACAAAGGAAGAATACCCATCTTACCAAACTTTTCTAGATAATAGAATTCTCACCTTATTTTATGAGGCCAGTATAACCTTTATACCAAAAACATGCCAAGAACATTATGAAAAGCAATTATCGGCCAACTCTCTCTCATAAACATGGATTCAAAATTCCAAAAAATATATAAATAAAATCCAGTGATACATTTTTTAAAAAGAAAATACATGTTGATCAAATTTGCTTTATTCTGGGAAGTCAGGGATGGTTCAACATAGGCACAAAAATTAAAAAGTATAACTTATCACATTAGTAGAATAAATGGGGAGAAACCTAGGCATCATCTCAACAGGTACAGAAAAAAGCATCTGGTAAAATTCTATACCCATTCACTACTTAAAAGAGAAAAAAAGTTTTTTAGTAAACTGGAATTAGTCTAGAACTTCCTTAATCTGATAAAAGGTATCGATAGAAAACATTGGTGGTGAACATGTTGAACATTTACTCCCCGTGTTCATGAACAAGACAGGCTGCCTACTGGTACTGCTTCTATTCAGCACAGCATTGGAGGTCCTGAACAGTACAGCAATGCGAGAGAAAAGGATTGGAAATAAATAAATAAATCTGTCTTTATTTGTTGATGACATTATTGTATCCCTAAAGGCTCTAAAAGAATCCTCAGACAAGCTATTAGAAATAATAGTAAATTTATTAGCAAGGACACTGGATACAAGGATCAATAAATAAAAATCAACTGAATTTCAATGAGGGGGAGAGAGAAGAAAAAAAGGGACAGAGGTACCTGATACCATTCATCACTCTACAAGCCGATGCTGCTCTCAACCATTACTGCTTACTTATCTTTAGATTTACCAGTAATTCAGATACTCTTCTAATTGGAAACTGAGGATCTGGGTGGATATAAGTGATGAGAAAGGCCACTATCTAGATAGAACAAGGAATCAGCCCCTTGTAGGTCAGATGTTGCCTTCTTGACTTCATTTGACTGTAACAGTTACATCAGAGAAGGTTTTATTCTTAATGGGCTATTGTGGCTATTCCATTAATAGTTTAAAAATAAAAATCAACCATTCAAAGGGATGTTCATTTTTCAAAATTTGGTGTTGGGACAACTAATAAATGTAATAAATAGAGGTAATGTTTCTATGAACAGAAATGACAAAGATTTAATGTTTGTTAATCTATTAGTATGAAAAATGTCAAGTTTCAAAACAGCATATGAAGCATAATATTACAATTCTGTAGACTAGAATATATAAACACATTTCAATACAATGAAGAAATGGAAAAAATCTACAAAGATATACCAAGTAAGTTAACAAAAGTAACAGAGCTATTGCTTGATGGTTGAGTGATTTTTCTTTTTTCTCCTTTACTTCTATTTTCAGTTCTTCTGATACCAACATAAAGTAATCAAAAAAATCTTTATAAAGTTCATAAATAAGCAAAACTAATTGCTAGAAGTCAGGATAGTGATTTTCTTTGGAAACATAAGTAATGACTAGAATGCTACATAAGTGAGGCTTCTGGGATGCTGGTAATGTTCTATTTCTTGTGACATGGGTTGTTTAATTTTGGAAAATTCACTGAGCCATGTACTTCTCTGTATGTACAATTCAATAAAAACTCTACAGAAAACTCTTGAGTATTTTAGCTTCCCTAATAGAATATATTTTCAGTTGCTTTGCTTTTTCTCATATATTGTCTTTAATCTATTTTTTTCCTCTGTGGATCAGTTGTCCACAGTTGGAGGGAGAAGCTCATCAAAAAAATTTTTTTATCTGCCTAAGTGAAAGTTCTGTTTATTTTACTTCAGCTTAGGAAAAGTCTTATGGCATAGAAATCTTCTGAATGTAATTTTAACTTATGTGTCAAAAGTTTCAGTACAGATATTACTTATAGTGATATCACTTATATTTACCTGATAGTGAGGCTTATACCACTGCTTTAAGTCCCAATCCCAAAGAATCATCTGGAAAAAAAAAATTCACTTAGTTACAAACCAGAAATAAATGAACAAATATATGTAAAGACAAATGAAGCATCTTCAATTACAGATACCTAAAATAGCTTAAAGTTTGGGAAAGGAATTGGGAAAGTGAGAATAAAAATTATCTCTAGATGGAGTATTTCATTAATTATGTAATCTGTGATTGAGAAATCAAAAGAATAGTCAGAATAAAGTCACTTAAAAAGCTATAGTAACCTTCAAAATATCTATTACCACAGAACCAAAAACATAAATCCAAAATCACATCCATCCACTAAAAATACAAGAAAAATTACAAATCACCACTCTTTCCTCATCTCCACCTTCTCCAAAGGCTCATAATTTGTCATCTTAACCCAGAGTCAGTAGGTGGCGCTATTTCCTTACCAATTAGGCACCTCTCAAACGCACTTTAAAAAGTTTGTCCTGTGGTTTAGATTAAGTAAAGGAATGGGTTTATAAAAGCAACACACAACCTTTTTGGTATACAGATAGTTATGGTTTTCCTGTTTGTCTCATTTATAGATTATCAATGGTACCAGACTAGTTTTTTCCTGCCTTTCTCTTCTTAGTAGGCTGTCTTCCTGGCTACTTCCCCATTCAATAGTCACTATAATCAAGGAGATAAAATTAGCTTTAATTTAACAAGTTATAACTGCTACATATGGTTAATCCTAAATTTTTTTACGTTTGCTTAGTTAATAAATAGGTCTCCTTTTGCCTAAATAATATTTATAATTGTGATTTTCTACATAGCTTTGAACCCTAGTCTGTAAATAAGTGTAATTAATTGGTAATGCAATCAAATAATTTCAATGTACTGAAATATTTGTGTCATTTCCTGCCTTCTGATTGTTAGGGATCCTGGTTGCAAAAGATCTTAAAATGTTATATACTCTCTCACCGGTCCAATATTTTATTAGGAGTTAGCAGATTTTTTTCTTACAAATACTAAACATTTTAGGCTTTGCAAAGCACACAAGGTCTCTATGGCATATTAGTTGCTTTTTGTTTTTGTTTTTGTTTTACAACCCCTTAAGATGCAAAACAAAACGAAACAAATATCCTTAGCTCAGTGGTCATACAAGAACAGGTTGTGGCAGGATTTGATCAGTAGGCTGTAGCTTGCTGACCCCTGTTTTAAATAATATAATCACTTTTAAAAATTGTTAGTTGTCATTATCACCATCTCCTTGTCAACATCCTTGCAGAAGGTCATCTCTTGCCAGTGAAAAGAAACCTACCTATTTCTTTCCAAAGAAAACCCAGACATACTACAACCACTTAACAAAATTCATGGACCAGTACCTGCAAAATGGCTATGGTATAGCTAACATGCAAAATATATAAAATATATTAGTAGACTTTTCAAATTTATGCAGTATTTTTATGGCCCTTAGTGTGGTCTTCATATAATTATTTCAGGTTGTGATTTAACCAGGCTACATTCTAGATTCTAGAGACAATGCAATTTGAGACATTAATAACTTCCTAATAAGCACATTCACACTAAGATTAATATAACCTAAAATCCCTAGGTTTCTTTTATATCTGATATACATGCTCTGTTTTCTGCATGCTATTCTTACACAATTGGCTTTTTAGACCCAACTGCAATATTTTACTTCTGACCTGGTTTCAGCCTGCCAAACTTTCCTTGGAGAGTGAGGATGTCAACTAGCCTATTCATCATTCCTCCCATCATCATGACGCTGGTAAATCTGATGTTTCCTTAAGTTCACTAACAGAAGTACAGTGTAGACAGGAGTGCAGACAGAATCACATGATGGGTCACTAAGGATTACCTATGAGATTTGCATTCTGAGTCTATGAAATTGTCGAGCTTACTTTCATCCAATCCGTACTTCATTTCCTCCACAAGGATACTATCAAACAGTGACATATCTATTATCTCGTTTCTCTAAGTCACTAGTCTAAGTAGAAGTGACTTCTTGCTAATCCCAGTATACTTTCATTAGGATGGTTTCTTAACGTTGAGTGTTCCTTGTCCCCTACTTCATTAGCCTATATGATTAAATATTATCTTTTAAAATATTTGCATTCCAATGCCAAAAGGCATATTTATATTCATATTATGCATTTTTTAATTTAATTTTTTTTTTTGCAGGAGGGTAAGTAGGTTTATTTGTTTATTTTTTCGATGGAGGTACTGGGGATTGAACCCAGGACCTCGTGCATGCTAAGCATGCACTCTACCACTTGAACTATACCCACCTCCCTCATATTATGCATTCTTAACAGTAGTCCTATCACTGCCAAGAAGGTCAGAATTGGTAACTAGGGGGCAAAAAAAAATCTTTAAAATGGTTGTAGCCCTCCTATCACTACAGCACATAAACAGATATATTAAATCTATGGTATTAAAATTTCACACAGGGGGAGGAATGATTAAGGGAAAAATACCTAAAAAGGCTCCTTACGGGGATGATGATAATTTTTTTTAAAGGTTGAAAAACACTGATTTTAAAAAAGTAGTCCTGCTTATGGCTTATAAGAGAATCATTAGCTTACATTCTGCCTTGAGACCATTCCAAGGCTGCCTTCTCAGAAGCTGCTGCTGACATGAGAAGCAACGTGAATACATACCTATTTTAACTGTGCTCTTAGAGGTCTCTAAAAACCTTACTTTGTACGAGGTGTTTTGGTTTTTTTTTCCTCTGTGCCTATTCTTTATGGATCTCTCTACTGTAGCATTTGATATTGCAGACCATCTCTAAATTTCACCCACCCTTGGCCCTCCACCCCATATAGGTTTTCTCTCACTTGTGCTTGCCATTTGGGCTTTGAATACACTCCTAAGCAGCAACTCAATCTTACTCGCAATCACTTTCTCTGGGATCAAAAATACGTTTACCAAAAAGCAGCAGGTCTTAGCCTGAAATCCCCTGCATACTAGGAACTGAAAACAGATACAGTGAAAGCCACAAATTGATGGTAGACTGCCTTCCGTGTAATTTGGACAACTAGGATACTCGTGATTTTGAGAAAACAAAATTTTCTGCATAAGTAGTAGCTGATGTATGATCCAGGAATTCTACTGCTAGGTACATCTTTGAGTAGTATTATTCAAGGTGTGGTCCACAATAAGAGAAGTACAGATATTAAGAGTAAACATTTAGAAATTTTTATAGCAATATGACATTGTTGAGATAAGGTTTTAGTGTATTTTTACAAAAGCAGAGTCCACAACAGATTGGGGCAAAAACTCCAAAGCTATACAGTTTAACACCAGGAGACAAGAACATGAATGCACAGAGCTGGATACCACCTCAATGTCCATCAATAGCAGAATGGGGAAATCTTGGTACATTCATGTAGCGGAACACAACAGTGAAAATGAATGCAGGATAGCTTCAACCTATCTGGATGAATCCTAAAAACATTATATTGGATGAGAAAAGTTACAGAAGGATACATACAGTTTAATTACATGCATGTGAAATAAAATACACATTGAAATATGCTTTTAAAAATGTAAATATGTGGAAAACTATAAAGAAATTCAGGATATGGATCATCTCTGAGGGAGGAGGGAAGAAAACTGGATCTCAGAGTGGCATGCAGGGAACTTCAAAGTCACTGATGATATTCAAAGTTAATGGTGGGTTGATGGTGTTTGTTATCCTTGGTCTCTATCCTGGCAAAGAAGTAGAGGCAGCGACTAGAGTAAACTCTTCAGGACTTGTGCTGCACATGTCAAGAATGAAATGCAGCAAGAGCTGGAAAAGAATGTGGGGACAATATTTTTGTTGCTAAACTGGTATGCTCTAGAGCTTGTACTTGATAGTGATGATATAGGGCAGAGTGAGAGATCTCCAAAGGAGAAAAATCCTTAATGGAAATATTGCTCAATGTCTCTATAATACTAGCACATAGATAAAAATTTAAAGTGGGAAACAGTAATTGAGTATTAGCCATTATTTATCAAATTATTATCTAGTTGTTCCATAGGTGGTCTGGAATATTTTAGGGGGTGGGGGAAGAAACAATTTAGTTTACATATATTTCAAAATTGTGAAATGTAAGATTAATTCTGATTTCCACAGAAATATCATAATCTTAATAATCATTATATTTTTTACAGTGGGGTAAGTACCCTAAGGCCTGCATTATTCTTTAAGAGTACAAATCATCTTAGATAAATATTTTCATGCCTTTTGAATATTATTGTTTATAATTGTTAAATCTGCATTCTTTGCATTGTGTTACAGTATACCCTCCATGAAAAAACTAAACGGCTCAAAATTGGTTTCCTAAAGCTTAAGGTCCTAATAAAAATAGGAACATAAATAACTCAGAATAAGTGCTAAGTCTAAATCAAGAACAAGACTCTAATGTAAACTGACAACAAATTTGTGGGTGTGATAATACCACACAAACCCATAAAAATAAAAATATTACTAAGTCATACAACAGTGACTATCTAAAAATTGGATTATTTTTAGACTTGCAATTCATTCACCCTATATTCTTCTGCCTGTTTTGAAACTTTTATGACATTCAAACAAAATATAAAAGCCTTTTTGGTAATCCAGTAGAACTTTTCTAGAACAATCAATGCTTTCTAATCTAAAACTGAATATTTCTGTTCCTAAAACAGAAGATACAGAAACTATACAGGCACCATTTAGATTCTGTGCTCCTCACAGGAAAAGGATATGAAAAAAGATAAACTATTGCTGAGAGATTGGTAAAACTAGCCACCAAATGATAAACACTATGCTGGAAGCGGGAACAGATCAAATAATTTCCAGAATGTATTTGCTGCATGACACATCGAGACATCACAGAACTGAAAAGGCATACAATATAAAAGTAATTACTGTCATATTTGTACATAGCAGATATTTTATTTACTGGTTGGTGGATAAATGCACTCACGTGCTAAGTCCAAATCAGCTCTTGGTTTATGTGCAAAACACATGACAAAAGATGGCAGACAACTTTTTATGTGTTCATTT